ACTCAGAGGCAGATGTGGCTTGAGAGACAATCTGAAGGATGACCTTGGAACTTACAAAACGATAACTGACAAAAATGAATTTTCTGAAAGAGGCGAATCTTTTCTCTAATATTAAAAGTGTACATGTATAATTTTTAACACTAATCAGTAAAAAAGGCTAAAATCCCTAATTGTCAACTCTTCACACTATTAAAGAAACACGACACATTTAATTCTATGTAAACGAAATTACTTACGTATATACGGAGTTATTTCTACAGTATTGAGAACGTTGTGTTGCGCTGCAGTAGAAAACGGCGACGTTTCGACATAAAAACTCGTAAGAATATTTTAACAAAAAGAAAACATATGGTGGGCATTCTCTTTCAGTGAAGAGTTAAGTGTGAAGTTTTCTGCGAACAGTAGCACTCAGAAACTCAATATTTTGCTTGCAGGCCTGATTCAAGTGCCATGAAGAGGCATAGCTAATTCACGTAAGTTTAGAGGAAGTGAGTCGTTTGTGTACTAATTAAATGTTGACGGACGAGGCGACGATAGTTGAGTCCGGCATTTTGACAGAGTCCGGCATTTTGAAACGTATACGCCAAAGATTCGATTTGCTTACAAATATTTGGTGCAAATTCATGAATATTTAGTAATATATATTCTTGAGATTATTCTCAATAAATGAGAAGGCAGCGATATTGATGTTAAGCTACTGGTTTGCTGACTATGCAGTTTTCATTTGTTTTATTTCCAAACCCACAAATACATTTTTGGGAATTCTTTCCCACGTAAAGTTTTCATTTAGGTTTGGGGTTCTCTCATGAATGCAGTTTTTAATAAAGTTTGATTTCACAAGTCTTTGTTTACAGGCATTATAGATCCATCACAGCCTGTGGCAGACTGTTTATGGTTGTAAGGAATTTCTATCACTGGTTTTTGAAAAACGACACATGTTCAATGTTGTCATTGGAGGACAATTTGTAGAATAATATTACCCAAACATATCTTCTCATTTCTGTCACATTTTGGTAGTGACATTCCCTCATATGGCTTCTCCATAATAATACTGAAGATATATAATCTAAGCTTCTGTCAGTCTTCCCTGACCTGCCATCATAAACTTTTTTCTCTTTCATTCCCCTTACAATTGTTCACAACATGCATCTCATTATCTTCTGCACATATCCCACAAATTCAATTTTTTTCTATATGCACATCACTGCCATACATCCTAATAAAATGAGGGGTTTGGAGCTGATAGCCCCCAATAATAAAAGGTTATGTAGCATATGTTTATGAAATATAATTTTCCTTAAATCTTATCCTTTTTCCATTAACAAAATATATATTATCGTGATCTACAAATTTCCCAGAATGAAATTAACATGAAAAAATCGAATTTTTGAACCCAAAACTCTGACAGGTTCCCCAAATAATATTTAAATCGTAGATATGTCAAATAATTGCATTTTCTGACATAAAAATATAAATTTCAGAAAAATAAATAAGAAATACCCTTATAGACTAGTATGTTTGACTGGAAAATAGTTATCAAAGAAAAATTTAAAACATATGAAACTTGTGTATTTTAGGATTGCTTTGTACAAAAATGGTTTTGATAAGTTAACAATTGTAAATGAACACGACAGCAAGCAACCGTTATCTCGTATGAGGTTTGATAATAGCTTTAATTTGATTTCATAGACAGTAAGTTCAGCTTTCCCTCCTACCTTGTGTGCATGGGTGTTAATTTCTGGTCACAGCTTCTTCATTGAAACATTGCGATGGATGTCTTATTACCACATTGCGATTTGTCCCGATGTTTTTTTTACTTCTTAACTCGTCAAGAGCCTTTTTGAGAGTTTCATCAAAATAATTGCAATAAGTTCACCCCCGCCCTTCTTCACGTAATATCGTGGCGCTTAAAACCAATAAATCCTCTAAAAAATGAGTGGCACCAAATCATCATCCAAATCTCTATATTATATTATCTTAAACCACCTCAACAAACAACATTGCGAAAATACCTCTGCAGTCCCATGAAACAAGTATTTTAACTTACCTTTTCTCTGCCAGACTGGTGAATATACGAAACAAATGCAAAATGTTGAGGAACACGAAAACTTGCAAAATACCAAGCATCCTCTAGCATGCTCTTGATTGGTTATATTCATACTTTAAACAATGATCTCAGAGAGTAGAAATACTTTACTGGAATGACGGAACATTATGCACGCATCTTTCCAGTTCATTGCCAATTGCAGGAGTTCCACAGGGATCGAATTTAGGCCATATTGTCTTTCTTCTATACGTAAAAGATATGTCACATTTGGAATAAAATTTCAGTTATTTTGTTGAAATGGAGGAAGTTGAGAAAATTGGGAATCATTGGTGAGGCGTTTTGCATATTTAAGTAAGAAATAACTTGATTTTGTTGAAAAGTTGAATCAAATTATATTGATGCATAGGAGATGCATTGAAATTATTTTTGTATGCTTATCAACATTAGATGAAGGTAGGACAAAGTTTGCATCAGACATTACTAAACTCAAATCAGCCGTACGTGGAAAATTAATACGGTTCATTTTTTAATATTTTTTGGAGATCCGAGGCTCTTGAATTATAAATACCATGTAATGTTAAAGACACTATTAACAGTTTATATTTATACTAGCAGTTCAGATATGATTATAAACGGCTTAAATATGATTACAATTCACACATACGTATAAACGTTAGCATGGCCCACTATACTCTTACAAATTGATCCTGATTAATAACTGATATAATCTGCATCCACTGCAAACCACGTTGGTCACCCTCCCATTGTTGCTGAGCTAAGACGCGATACATTTAGCGTGTGATTTTAACTTTCTGAACGCCCAATCGTACACAAAAGCGCGAGCGGCAACAAGTCACCCCATTTCACGGCCATAATCGCCATCGAACGGAGCGGTGGGATGAGCCGCTGCCGAGCCCGACGGCGTGCGTCGCCCGACAGAGACGGATTTGCGGCCACCTGCCGGGGAGCGTTATTTACGATCGGTCGCCTCGTGTCGCGTCGCGTCGCGTCGCGCGGCGTCGCGCGGCGTCGCGCGCCGGCGGGCCCCAACTCGCGGGGCGGAGCCTGGCAGCGCCCCAGCCGCCGGCGCTAATGTGCCGCGGCGGCGCGACCCGGCCAGCTGCTTCCTGCACCGCGCCTCGCGCCTGCTCACAAATACCGCGCGGCGGCTCAGGCAGCGGAGGTGCACGGCTTGTACTTAGTGTATCCTCCCGCTCTTATTCCTCCACACATTCTCCTCCCCTCACGTCCACCTTCTCTTTATTCTTTTTTCTTTTATTGCATTGTTCCAATGTCAAGGGTTTGCGTTGTTTTTAAACAAAGAGAGTTCGCCGAAAGTGGGACCACAACCAATTTGTATTACCGTAATTTGCTACATACGACAAACTGAAAAAAATTGATACTTTTTTTGAGAAAAAAAATGAAATTGTCTACATTTCACGTACAATTACACGAAAAGTGCTATTTTTTTGAAAAATTGTACACGAGCTTATTTGAAGAACTCTCTTCGAAGAATATATTTAATTGATATTTAATTATGCAACAATGCATAAGGTACATCCGTGATGAAAATATTTACATAGATACATCTTTAAAAAGGATGTTTGTGTAATAAAATAAAAAATGAAAACAATAAACCAAAACGCGTTAATACCATTTTGTTTAGTGCTTAAAGCACTATTCATACAAATTGTTTAAAGACACTAGTTGTGCTAAAACAGCACATTGTTTCGAACAATTGCAATTTTAAAAAAATCGGAGAGTTATGTAAAAAAGAAACTTTTGCAATTCTTTGAAGTGTCTCGTAATTTATGAAATATTTGTCAGGTTTGAAAAAATGTTATTTTTTAAATTGCATCTTCTTTCATCCGGAATTAAACTCTTCTCGTTTTCTCAAAAAAGTATTCAGAACCTGTTTTAAATATTTAATTATTTAGAACAGATTTTGTTCAAGATAAAAATGTCAATTTTACAATTTTCAAAAATACTCCGGAAATAGGACTAGCGCCATTTGCACCGACATTCATACATCCGTGTAGAACATTTAAAGAAAAACATTTGGAGTCGTTTATTAGAAAATAATTGTTAACAATTGTCCAAATTTCATGTAAAATTACACAAAAACAACTATTTGAGAAATTATAATTGTCCGTACACAATCACTACCCTCATTATTGTAGTCGTAGGAAGGCAAACAAATGTTGAACCTTGACCATTTTCGAAAAAAACGAAGATTTCAACGACAAATTATACAGACCTACACCATTCTTTTAAGTGTCATTTTTACCACCCGAGTTCAAAGTTAAATAAAAAAATGGAGATTTTTTTAGAATAATTTGAAAATGTTGTTAAGACTTAATGTAAAGTACTCTTGAAAATAAAAATATCTACTTCCAATTCGAAGGACCTCTAAACCTTTAAATCGATAGAGGAATATCAATTCTGAAGAAGACAGATGTTCATTTTACCGTCATTCAGTTTGTCGATAACAAGGGCCCACGAAACATGTATTCCGATTACACAACGGGTCAGAGGAAGTAATTTACTACATAAAGAAACAATATTTATCCACGTTTTTGGTACCAAGGCCCAGCAGTTAATCGGCACTGCGCAGATTACAATACGTTCTCCTCTTTCAAAGTGAGGCGAAAAAGTAAAAAAAAAAACAAACATTTAGTGTCATGTTGCCCTAAAACTTGTATATCCGTTGAAATTTTTTACATCTATTGTTTGCATCATTACATAGCCTACTCTGCCCTACGTATATTTCTTCGATCATGTATAGAATACGAGAAAGTATAAATCAAAATGAGCAGAGAAAGGGAAAGTGGGAAGAACGAATCTTCTCTAGAGGGCAAGAAACCCTGAGGTCGGCCCCAAGAAAGTGATAGGCAACAATTTTGTCTTAGACCTTCATTTATTTAAACAAGTGAAGAGCTAAAATTGCCAACTTTTACGCAATTGTAATAATAATCAGACGCGTTAAAACATTATGACAGGGAGTATTTATATTTTCATCTTCCACCGATAAACGATAGGTACTGAGTAAAATTTCTTTTTCATTTCTGCAAAAGAATGGCGGTAAATAAATCACTAATACGTATATAACTTTGAATTTCATTTGTGATATTTTATTGTCAAATTTGACAGCTGCGATTTTGCAGAAAGAGTGTATTAAGTTAGGGATTTTAAAGCCTTTGGTCGAAGATATATTTGTGATTGTGAAGTTTATTCAGTGATGAGACTGACAGTCAATCACTGACTTTGATTAATTGGGCCGTTTTCAAAAGGAGAAGTAATATTTACGAATCTGTTATCGTTCTACGCATTTAGCTACGAAACGACAAGCTCTCCTCGCTCAGTATCTTCATTGGTTTGGAAAACATCGGCTATTGGTGTATGACCCAGTTGCTTCGTATCGCTGCAATTCTAATTTTATTGAAATTGCTCATGAACCAAAGTCTTAACCTAAATATTCCAGAAGACTGTGACAGCGAACGGTGGCTCTGCACAAAGGACCTTTTTATTCAAAGGAAACTGCACTTCGCACTGGTAGTCAATTTCATATAGCCGTTGACCTCAAAAACCCTGAAACACTCTAAGAAAAGGACGTCCTACGGTTTCAGGAAATACCAACACCTTCTAAAATGTATGTCAAAAAAACGCATCAATTTCATATTTGTTCTATTTTACGATTTTGTACCCCACGAATTCGAAATGGCTAGGATAATAGAGGAGAAAGTAGCTAATAATAGCTAAAATTCCCTTTATTTACGCACACAGGCTGCTGTGGTGGCGGAAGGGGTTCCAAAACAGCCGGTGGACGCTGTTTTAAATGATGTTTTTAACCTATAATTTTAAGCAGCTGGTTCCTATCAACTACATATCTCCATACCTATCATCTACGTATCACCATTCCTATCATTTAGTACCTATTCCTGCGAATCACCCTTCCAACAATTTAATTCACCTCTCACCAACATTCAACACTCATGATTCCTCGTACGCTCATGATTTGGGTGGGCAAACTATCGCTGTGATTATCTTGTCAGGAAAAGTGAAAGCATAAAAGTGTAAGTCTTCTCCTTCGCCAAGTCAGTAGAACAGACATCATAATTATAATTACACATACTCATACATAAGCTTTGAATCCGACAGGAAGAACGCACTTGGAACAGTCACGAACTGCATATTGGAGGTCTTCTTAAATATGATGATTCTGCAAGTACAAGCAATTTTAATGTAAGAAGTTTTTACTCGTGTTTTTATCTCCTAATTGGAACAGAAAAAACGCGAGGAATATGGCAAGGGGAATACAAATGATTTACAACTTTTATAAAATAATTCTTTTTAATGGATTGTCATAAGGTTATAACACAAAGACATGAAAAACCATCTTTAGTAAGCCCTAATGTCACAATATAAGAATTCCTACTTTTACAAAAAATTCCAAAGTTACAGGGGTGAGGTAGACCCAATCGTGTGAACATGATTACATTCAGTAAAGTGCCTAATGAAGAAGAGAACACCATTTTTGAAACAGATCCTTTTTTATCAGACTAAAAACGATTCTTGAAACGACAGTGTAATTAGAAAATAGAAGTAAACATATCACAAACGTAATAGGTGATACCTGGAGCTTGGACAATAGATACAATAGATATCTTCGTTTTTGTCAACGGGCAAAATTTCCATGTTTAAATAAACCTTTTTGTTCATGATCAAAGTTATGTACAAATCATTAACAGACATCATCTTATAGAGGGTATTTACAACAGCTAGTGAATGCGTACATTTTTAATTAAATAATAATGCCATTTACGTTCATTTTAATCTTAAATAAACATACTATTTCACAAAACGTAGTCACTTAAATAAGAAGTAGTCTCTCGTTCACTTTTTCTTCGTCTCGACACCACACTCACTGGAAGGGCATCTCGCCCCACAGTCTGAGCGTCCGAATGGCGCCGCTAGGGGGCGCTGGTCACATTCGCTTCTTCTGTCCCACTGGCGTCGCCCAGCGCCGGATGTCCCTTCCACGTCCATCACGACTTCTTGACACAATGATACATGTTAGGATCGCTATTTAATTACTTCCTAAATCGCTTCTCATTTCAAGTAGTTGTAGTTTCGTCTCCTCCACGTCCATGAGCAAACGAAATAATAGCATTATCAACACAGGAGAGTAACGAAAGCAAATGAATGATGCGGTGAGGTGTGTATCATCTCTCGTGCCACGATAGTCCCCCGGCAAGGCCGGCGCGACGGAGGGGTGGGGCGGGGGGCGGGGCGGGTTAGGAGCACTCGAGCGAGGGCGGGCTGCCGCCGCCCAGAATGTAGGGCGGGCTGTGCGCCTGCAGCGGCGCGCCGTGCGCCAGCGCGTGGTGGTAGTCGGCGCCCGGCCCGTGCGGGGGCGGCGGCGGCGGCGGGTAAGCGTCCAGGTCGGCCCCGCCCGCGCCCGCGCCCTCCGGCCCGCCCACGCACTTGTCGCCCGCCGCAGACCCCGCCTTGCCCTCCTGCTTCAGCACCATCCGCCGCCACTTGGCGCGCGCGTTCTGGAACCACACCTGCAACACCACACGGCGACAGTCAGAACTCAGTTACTCAGCAAGCAATACTTCATATCAAATACCTCGTTTGTATTTATTGCAATTGCATTTGCTCACAAAACAACGAACGAAATTCATTAGCTTACTTACAACGGTCTTACTACCATCTCAATCAATTTTACAAATGTTCTTTATAACATTGTAATGTTTTTTGTACCTTGATAAAACAGTCCCAGTAGTCTTTTTTTACAACTTATTACTTTTTTTTTTGACGTTTCAACCCTTTTTGTGGTCGTTTCCAAAAATATTTTGCGCAGATTTGTGGAAACCACATCATAAAGAGTTAGCATTTAGTAAAAATTTGTCAAGGGTATTAAAACGCTGATCAAGTCGTAAACATCATCATTCGTTCTTTATAAAAAAAACATCAGTCACGAATTAAGTGATTAGTTAAAATTCAATTACAAAGAGAGTTTGAAAATGGAGCCAGGGGCAAGTTAAATTGTGAAAAATCATTTAGACAATTCGTTCACGACAATTTTTTGTAAAATGTATTCTATTATTTATATACAAAAAATGTTCAATTTATCAAAATATAGTTATTTTTAATACAAATAATTGAATTAACTCGTCGTAAATAAATTTGCTTTACTTTCATTTAACATGGACGAATGGACATGGAATGTGTATTGGAGAGAAAATAAGCGTTAGGAATTGCTACAAAGGGATGCTCAAGAAAGCAAAATTTTGTTAACGTATTTTTTGATTGGGTTCGTGATACAATTTTAAAAAATCCAAAAGAAACCAATAAAATGTTAGTATTAAGAATAGAAAAAAATTATATCGCAAGAAAAGGACATAATTCGGAGGAAAACGCAAAAGATACTTCATAAAGACTAATGAAAAACTGATAGCGACAAAAGCTATCAGATAACTCTAAACCCATTGCAGCAGTATCAAGAAACTCATAACTCAAGATACTGTGCCCAGCCCACGGATTTACTGCAAAGCAGTGGAACCCAGTCACGAAGACGACCATCAGCACACAAGATAAGCGAAGAGATAAACGCCGCAAGCCACGACTGATGCGCTCGCGATTGGCCACCGAGCTGCATCTGCTCGGACCAATCTCCGCTCCTGTTTGGGCGTCTGCCGACTGCTTAATGGCGACCTCGGCATGAAATTTGTACTCAGCCCCAAACCACCGCGCGCCCACGCCACTGTCTGCGCCGCCCCCGCAAAAACTGGAAGAGCAGCGAATGTGGCGGCGGCGGCGACAAGCCCGGAAAAGTGAAGATCAGACCCAACGGCTTCATCGTTTACGTAGAAGACTCGACCCCACGTGTTGCTAGAATGCTGCACCATTTTCAACGGATGTGCACGTGTTTTTATGTTCTAATTTTCTATCCGCCTTATTTTCTACAGACTATTTCTCCTTCCGGAAGTAAGGGTGGAAAAAATAGGTCAATATAATGTCGCACCTAAGTCGACCGACTTACATTTTTTTAAAATTATTTTTTGAACATTTTTTTAAAATTATTGTTTGTCTATATTTAGATAAAACTAACCTAAAACATATTTCTATTTTTTTAATATGAACATTTATAATACAGCCTTTATCTACAAATATAAATTAAAATATTAACAATTGCTATACACCTCTTGTTTTTAAAATCCACGTTTAATTTAATAAATGAAACAAAGGGATGTCTGTGTAAATATAACAATAGAGCAGCGTTATCGATATAAGTGTCATATTAAGTGTCATGGCAAAAAATAAAAACCGCTTTCCATGAATTACCTTCAAAATTAACCTAAAAATATGAGTTATTTGTCTTGAAATTCTCATAGGAGAACAATGCATAGACTTGGAATTTATCGGTTACTGACAATGTCTTTCAATGCAATGCAACACAGGAAGTGTATTAGGCTCTCCCAATCACACCGTGTACTCCCTCGTGTAGGGAAATGAGTGGCGCTGTGACGTCATGGCATTACGTTCTTGGTTGATGCTTCCCGTCAATATTGCCAGCGCTGGAGCTCGGAGAATAAGCAAGTAATAAAATATAACAGACTAAAGCAAAACTCATTACAGACATTGAATGCCATAATTAGACCACTCTTATTATAAGCTTCTCCAGTTTGGATAAATATCGCAAAATCGAACACAAAAACTACAGATTGTTGAAAACCAGTTCCTCAGTGTATTAAAAATGAACCATGATTTATTTCCTACCAACAGCTACACAATGAATTCCAACTCGAAACTATAAAAAAACACATCACGTATCTCTCCAAACAGTTTTACCTCAAATCACCAGAATACCTGTACATATCCTCCAGTTAGGCAGAAATCCCACTCATCAAACTCGTATTAAAATAGATATCCCTCCCTTTACATTCCTTACACAGTTTTTCGGAATGCAACTTTCCTGTGGTCTTCTCAGAAAGGATTCCTCCCCCCAAAATCTGACTCTTAGAATTAAGTTATTAGCATTACGTTTTGTATTAAGCCAACAATACAAATGTAGAGTGTGATCTCAACTTTGTAGTACCTGAAAATGTAGTAATAAAAAAAGCAAAGGGGCCCTTATCTGCTCGCCGTATCTGCAACATTACGCAGCGGAATAAAACTCGAAGGCTTCCCAGATTACATAAACTGCTTTGAAGCGTCGCCGCGTTGAATCATTTTCCCGTAGAATTTTCTGAAGCGTAGGCCGCGGGTGGGAGGCGGCAAAAGCATAAATCAGCGTCGACGCGACAGGCAAGAGGGGGTCGCGGGGGAAAAGCCGCGCCTGGCGGAGTGTTGCTGCTGCGAAGCGAATCTGCCACGAGCGCCGCCCGCCCACCCAAGCGTCGCCCGCTCTGCACCGCTAGCAAAGCTCATCGTCATCACTCTTTCCACAAGTTCAAATCCGAGAAACGATTACAACGGCAGGAAAACGCGTTGTTAGTTACCAAAGCAATTATTATTATTATTAT